AATTAAACACTACTGCACCCAGAATGAGGCAGTGACAATTGTTATCCAATAATAACAGAGATTTCATCACCCTGCTCCATTCACCTGGAAGACGCTGCCTCCACCCAGGTTATAGCTGAGTTCACAGGGAAGTTCACGGCGGAAGTTGCTGGCAAATTCTGGGTAGAGCTCCAGACTAGCCAGCAGGCCAGGCAAGCTCAGGCACTGTAGGTCGCAATAGGTGAGGCCCCGCACATCTGCATTGGCCTGGACCCCCTGTTCCTTGGATAAGATGTGGCAACCAATCAAGTCTCCCTTCCCTGCAAGGAAAAGAGTTTAAAGGTGAATCCTTCATCGAGTGGAACAAAATGGAAGCCCCCTCAGACTCTCGTTCTGAAAGGAGGCTCGCTGAAAACCCCAAATTGAAAGCACCTTTGGGATGAACAGGATGGGATAGGAAAAGATAGTAGAGCAGAGCTCTCGGAAAGAGTTGGCTTAAAAAAGCAATAATAAAAGGCAAAAACATTTCAAGCCTTATTGCATGGGGGCGGGGGTGGAACCAGCATGCCAAAATGGAAGTTTGGGCCTCTATTCCCACCTTATTCTGGATATAGAAACCTTTTTTTTTCTGTGTGGAAAACTTCAGAATGAGGGGGTTTAGAATTTCTCCCATTACACCTGCATTCACACATTCACACCCCATATTTCAAGTCTTGGCTAAATTGGGTAAATTTGTGGTTCATTGTGTCATGGCAATTGCCATTTTTTAAAAGGGCTATGAGAAACACGCTGTAAGACTGTGGGCTTCAAAAATTTTAGCAACGGGTTCTCTGCTGGGTTTGTTGCTGGGTGGGCGTGGCCACGGTGGGCATGGCCTAGTTGGCCTCCTGCACCATGGTAGTAGGGAGGCTTTTTGCCCTCCCGTTGGCTCTGGAGGTTTTCCTCGAGCCTCCAGGAGTGTGAAAACAGCCTCCCCTGGCTTCAGAGGCCCTCTGGAAGCTGGAAACGGGCCCATTTCTGGCCTCCCCAAACTTCCGGGAGGCCTGTTTTTCGCTCTCCCCGAGCCCCCACATGCGCCCTGCACTTACCTGCATCCAAAACGGGCCACATGGGGACTCCTGGGAGGCGAGGGGCGGGGTGGGTGGGGCCAGGCAGGAGTGGGATTTGGGAGTTCTCTGAACTGTACAGAATCTTAGCTAGGGGCTCTCCTGAACCCCAGCAGCCCACCCCTGGATATGGCTTATTACTCGGGGCACACCAAGATGTGAGAACATAGTGACTGTTGTGTTCACCCAGCTTTGAGGCTGCAGGTGTTTTCAAGTCCAGCCAACTTTTTGAAACTTGAAGCTATTCAACACCACAGACAATACTGCTACCCTTCAAAAAGACCTTGACTATGTATCAGAATGGTCAATCAAATGGCAACTTCAAATCTCAACAAATAAATGCTCTGTCCTACCTATTGGCAAAAAAATAATAATCAGAAAATAAAATACAGGCTGAATAGTCAAGACCTTGTTGATGATCCAAACTCTGTCAAGGATCTTGGAGTACTCATCTCTAATGATCTAAGTACTGGAGCCCACTGTAACTATATAGCCAAAAAGGCATTAAGAGTTGTTAATCTAATCTACTTAGCTTTTTCTCTGGTAATATTACACTACTAACTAGAGCATACAAAACATTTGCTAGACCAATACTCGAATACAGCTCATCAGTCTGGAACCCACATTACGTATCTGATATTAACAAAGTTGAAAAAGTCCAGAAATATTTCACAAGAAGAGTTCTCCACTCCTCTACTCATTGCAGAATACCTTATGCCACCAGACTTGAAACTCTAGACCTAGAAAGCCTAGAACTACGCCGTCTTCGGTCCGATCTAAGTATAGTATATAAAATCATACATTGCAATGTCCTACCTGTCAATGAATACTTCAGCTTCAACCACAACAATACAAGAGCAAACAACAGATACAAACTCAAGGTCAACCGCACCAAACTTGATTGCAGGAAATACGACGTCAGCAACAGAGTGGTCAATGTCTGGAATACTGTACCTGACTCTGTGTTTTTTTTTTCCCAAACCCCAAAAACTTTAACCTTAGACTGTCTACTATTGACCTCATCCCTTTCCTAAGAGGCCTGTAGGGGGCGTGCATAAGCGCACCAATTGTACCTACCATCCCTGTCCTATTGTTTTTTTTTATTTTTCTTATACGTAGCCATCTCATGTATTCATAACTATGTTTATACTTATACCTGTTATCTTGTAAGTGATTGACAAATCAAATAAATAAATAAAACTTCCCAGTCTCCCAGACTTACAACATGGTGAGGGGGGAAAGAGCAGGGACCAAAGGGAAGCAGGCATTACCTAGGATGGCAAGCACAGTGCCATCTTTCAGCACCTCCATGGAGCCCGAGCAGATGAGATACAGAGCCTGGAGTGCATCTCCCTGCCGGATCAGGTATTCCCCCGGCGTGCAGAAAGACATTCGGACACTGAGTGAAAGGGAACGCCGGCAGCCCCGGCTCGCCCCCTCAAAAAGGGGTAGCTGGAGCAGATCCTTGTGAAGGTGCAGGGCAATATCGGCACGCAGCTCATCCGGGAGGCTATGCAGCAACTGGTGAGAAGGAAGACACAGCAGCAGGGTTAGAAGGCCCCCCTTTCCTTGCCATACCAGGGAGGCTGCCTTTGTCAGGGATGGTACAAGGACTCCTGGGGGGGTTGGACTAAAACAGGGGTGTCAAACTCAGGGCCTGAGGGCAAGATCTGGCCCATGGGGTGCTTGGATCTGGCCCACAGGGCCACCCTGGAAACAGTGAAAGACTGGCCCACAGTGCCTCTGTCAGCTAAAACGGAGCTTGGGAGACGTGTGTGTGGCTCCATTTTTGCTGGCAAAGGGCAAGAGGAGGCCATTGTGGCTGAAAACAGAGCCTGGGAGGAAAATGGATCCCCCCCAGCCAGAGGTGGAATTCAGCAGGTACTGACCAGTTCTGGAGAACCGATAGCGGAAATTTTGAGTAGTTCGGAGAACCGGCAAATACCACCCCTGACTGGCCCCGCCAACCCCATCTATTATCTGCCTCCCGAGTCCCAGCTGATTGGCTGGGTCTTCTTTTGTTGCCCTGCACAGGAGAACCAAGCTGGAAAGCAGGTTAGTGGGGTGGGGAGGGAATGGGATTTTGCAGTAACTTTCACCCTGGAGTGGGGTGGGAATGGAGAATTACAGTATGCTTCCCCTGCCCTGCCCACCAAGGCATGCCATGCCCACCAAGCCACGTTTACAGAACCGGTAGTAAAAAAAATTGAATCCCACCACTGCCCCCAGCCCTGCCTGGGCCACCACAGGTGTCCCTGACATGAGTAACGTCGATCTGGCCATGCCCGCCCCCCAGGCCCCCCAAGGTCAAACACAACTCTGATGCGGCCCTCACTGAAATCACGTTTGACATCCCTGCAGTAGAGGGTTTTCTTGCCTAGTTCTTTTCCTTGCTAGGGCTGGAATCTCACCTCCCGTGTATCAATCCCATTGCTGGCACTCCAGGTGGCTTGGAAGTATTCCAGCATGCGCTGCTTTAACGGCGGAGGGATCCGATGAATACGGATGTAGTCACGCAGGTCACGTGTACGGCTGTGATAGAGGAAGCGCCGAGCATACATGCGTTGAATGATGGCCGTTACGTTGCCGAAGACAACCGCATGCATGAGTGCTGGGGATGGAGGAGAAAGAGAAGAGACCGAGGGTAATCTGGCTGAGATGGCCAAGGAGAAGGTGAGTAGCAGAAGCACCACCTGATTTTGTACGGCCAGTGATATGACAATGATGCCTCCGATAAGAGAACCAGGACAAACTTCACAAGCAAATTGAAAAGAATGAAGGAAGCGTCAGGACTAAAAGTTTTGGACATAAATTTTATCAGGGTAGGAAAACAATGGGGTAATAATTGAGCTAGCCAGGAATTGACTGTAATACAGATCCAAGAGGCAGATCAAGTTTTGGGATATTCAGTTTATATGAACGGTTTTAAGCATGTTTATATATTTTAAAAAAGAGCCAAGGGAGAAGTCCTCTAACCTGGCCTACTCCTTATGATGATACTTTTCTATCTGGCAAGAAGGTTTTTTTTTTGTAGAAGGGAGTATTTCAAATAGGTTCTTCTTTATCTACCTGAAAGGACAGATAGTCCTTTCCTTACAATCATAATCGGGACCAGAATTTCCATCACTAAGCCCAATTTTACAAACTTTTTTTTGTTGCAAATTACTGCTGTAGTTAAGTGACTCATGTTCTCGTTAAGTAAATCCAACTTTCCTCATTAACTTAGCTTGTCAGAAGCTAGCTGGAAATATCACAAATGGTGATTACACAACTCCGGGATGCTGCAACTGTCATAATACACGCCAGTTTACCAAATGCGCCAAATTTTGATTGTGTGACCATGAGTATGTTGCTACAGTCCTGAATGCAAGGACTGGCCGTAAGTTATTTTATTTTCAGTCCTGTTGTAACTTCGAATGGTTGCTAAATGAATAAGTCGAGGATTACCTATCGTCCCAGCCAGAGGTGGTATTCAGCAGGTTCTGACCAGTTCTGGAGAACCGGTAGCAGAATTTTTGAGTAGTTCGGAGAACCAGCAAATCCCACCTCTGACTGGCCCCGCCCCCATCTATTCTCTGCCTCCCATTGAGTCCCAGCTGATTGGCTGTGTCTTCTTTGGTTGCCCTGCACAGGAGAACGGAGCTAGAAAGCAGGTTAGCGGGGTGGGGAGGGAATGGGATTTTGCAGTAACCTTCCCCCAGGAGTGGGGAGGGAATGGAGATTTTACAGTATCCTTCCCCTGCCATGCCCACCAAGCCACGCCCACCAAGTCACGCCCACAGAACCAGTAGGAAAAAAAATTTGAATCCCACCACTGGTCCAATTCATATCTTTTATTATCTCATTCTATGGACATGTTTCTGCATGTCCTGGCCTAGGATAAAGTTGCTTATTTGAGTGGTCAGTTGATTATTTATTATGTTTCTGAATATAGAAATGAGCCTCCTTCTCCCCCAGCTGCTGCCCCTTTCTAAAAAAAAAAAAAAATATCCTAAAAAAGACTGGTCTCTAACATACAGATCCTTGCCCTGTAACTGTAGTTGTGGCTGTAATTCCACTATTTTCCAATTAAACCACAAACTCATCTTTCCCAATCTTGCTACCTGTAGCTGTCTTGGACCTACAAACATGGCAACCAAGAATCTGGGGAAACATCCAGAGAATATCAGGTGGAAGAAGCAGCACGAAAACTGAATCAGGGGAAGAATTCCAGGTGGTACTTTCATTGCAACCAATGGGCAAGGAAGCAGGCCTTTCCTACGTTGGGAAGTCTTCTTCTTTCCCCCCTTTCAGTAACTTTGCTTGAAGGTTAGCCACAGAGCATATGAACAAGAGGTATTTGGTGTACCCATCCACCCCTTGCTTCTTGCTTCTTGGTTTCCTTAGTCTAACGGTTAAAAGTTAGGTCTAAATTTAAAAAGGCAGCTTTCATTTCCCACCACTGATGTGTTCCACAATCTGAGAAGAACAGAGATCGGCCATCTGGTTTTCTTTTCTTACCATTGGAAGGAGGCTAAGGATGTAAGAACCACCTTGCTGGTTGTTGGCGATGTACCAAAATAAAACTCACAATAATAGAAGGTGCTTGGCCCGTTGTCATGAGAACTAGATTGCCCAAGAACCTGAGTTGGAAGCTGAGAGGAGGAGGAGGAGGAGGAGGAGGAGGAGGAGGAGGAGGAGGAGGAGGAGGTCTTGCTGGTTCTCCTTCTTGATATCCCACCCAGGGGCAGAGCCCAACTCACCCCCTACCAGCATGGTGCAGATGGAGAAAATCTTCTCTGAGTCGGTGTTTGCCGATACGTTGCCAAAGCCCACACTGGTCAGGCTGCTGAGGGCAAAGTATAGGGAGGTAATATAAGCACTGCGCAAGGAGGGTCCCCCTAAGAGTTCCCAAGTTGTGCCGTTGAGGGAGGAACTAGTCTGGTTGGCAGGTTCTTCTTCACCACTGCTGTTCCTCTGAGCCAGGTAATAGGGAGTCTCCAGGCGTCGAGCCAGCTCCTGCAGCCAACCTACAAGGATGGGGAAGAAGGAAGCGAAGCTAGAAGCGAAGCTAGAAGAAAACCCATGTTAAGCTCCTCCTGAGTACTATTCCCTCTTTCCCAAAAACATGCCAGTTGCAGACACAGCCTGTTCTGGTCCAGGGTCTTGCAGAAGAACCGAAACACTAAAGCCTTGTAGGCCAGGAGGTAGAAGTTCCAACACTGGTCCATCAAGACAACCAGGGCATGCAGACAATTACCTTCCTCGGCTGCTTGTCTAAAGCATCTGATCTGTCATGTTCTATGAGGTGTCATCTCAATCTCTTTTAACAGTACTGTACTAAAAAAGGGGGGTACACAACCTATTAGCCTTCCAGGCAGTGTTCCTGGCATCTTTCCCATGGTCATACTGCCCAGGATGGATGGGAATCAGAGCCCAACAATTTTGAGATCAGGGGTGTCAAGCTCGGTTATCATTGACAGCTGCATCAGGATTTTGTTTGACCTCGGGGGGAGTGTGTGTGTGGCCAGGATGGGCATGAATAGCTCAACATCACTCGTGTTGTGGGTACCTGTGGTGGCCCAAATGCTCTGCCATGAAAACAGGCTCCTGAGCTCCGTTTCCAGCTGCGATGGCCTCTTGCAACCCTCTGCCAGTGAAAACAGAGCTTGCGAGAGCCGAATGCAGCCCGCCTGAGCTCCATTTTTTCTGGCAGAGGCACCGTGGGCCAGATCTAAGCACCTCACGGGCTGGATGCAGCCCGTGGACCTTGAGTTTGACACCCCTGTTTTAGATGATCACAGATTTTCTGCCTGGCTTTAAAGATAGTTTCTGTGGACGTATCATCTCCCTCTACAGATATAATGTCTTTCACCATACATTGAAGGCACACATTCTCTAAGTTCATGATCTCCCACCCTTCTATAGATCAGTGGTTTTCCATCCCACCCCCACAATTATGGAACCTCTTGGATCACAAAAATTAATTAATTGGTTCTTGGAATCCCTGATCAAAGTGGATAGAAAAATAGCTGAATCTGAGTGAACTATTTTTTTTTTAATCTTCACCTCTCACAGAACCCATCAGGTTCTTACAAGACCTCAGGGTTTCATGGGACACAGTTTAGGAAATCCTGGCAGTGGCTATACACATCATAAGCTTTCTTCATGCAAGCTGTTCCCACGTGGAATCCATGCTTAAGCAAGGTGGCACTATTTGTCCCCTGTCACCGCACATGCCAGTCAAGCCAGTCATACCCACTGGCATCTAAGTGAATGTTCACATAGGGCATTTGCTAAGCCTTCTCTCTTGCAGCCATTTATGCCGTAGAGAGGGTGTCAGAGATCTAGCCAAGCAGCTGTATGCAATGTTGAAAATGAATGTAGTCAGCACAATCTTCCACTTAGACCAGTGACAGCCAACGCGTGTCAAGGGTAACACACCATGACATTTTGGGTGACATGCCAACGTTCAGCCATACCCAACCACAAATATCCTTGAAAGCACATCCCATTCTGACATAATTTTCAGAGGCTGTGGAAGATGCAGAGGGCTGTGCTCTTTATGTTCTCCACAGCCTCCAAACATTGTGTGAGGAAAGGGGCTGCTTTCGCATGGTTTTCAGAGTTTGCAGAAGAGCACGCTCCGAAGCTGCTTCATGAAGGAAGGCCTGGTGTGACTGAGAGCAATTCTGGGTAGGCTGCAGAGCCCTGTCAACAGAAAGAGGACATCGTATGAAGGTGAAGAGGTGTGTGGTAGATGTTCGGGGCAATCGTGCCATTATCCAACACAGAGTGGTGTGTTTTTTGATAGCAGCAGTGGTGCTAGGGCTGAAGTTGAGGTCCAGAACTTGACTTCAGGTCCAGGCTCATCACTGCCGCTGCTGAGTGCTGCTGTTTGGGATGGCCTAGATTTGGGGGGGGGGGGGGGGGGGGGGGGTTTTTTTGTTTGTTGGTGGTGGGGGGGGGGGGGGGGGGGGGGGGGGGGGGGGGGGGAGAGATTTTTTCTTTTCTTTGTGTGTGTGTGTATGTGTGACACAGCAGCATAGTCAAGCTAGTCATTTTCTGAGTTTTTGACAAGCTGAGTCCAAGATGTTTGCCATCGCTGACTTAAACACTGATCCAGGTACAGTATGTCTGAGTAAGCTAATCATTGTGTGTTTCCATTAAGCCTCAGAACCGAAGAATTGCCCCAGTTCAGTAAGATCAGTAAATCCTGCAGTGGTTAAAAGTGAGCTAGAGAACAGAAGTATCTGTTAGGAATATAAGTCACCTAACAGGTATTTGGGTTAGAAATATACAAACCAGGATAGACATTTTAGTACTATATCTTTAAGAAAATGCAAAACTGTAGTTGGGTGTGGTTTTTCAAACGGCCATAAGTTGGAGCCAGTAACCTGGGTTGTTTTAGTCTTAGTCTCAGAAGAGAGTGTGTCTGAGTAAGTATCTCTGTTTCCTGCTGTTGGAAAGTATTGCTGTTGCTCCATTTCTTCTAATTGACTGATATTACTGGATTTAATGTAAATCTGATACTGAACTGTTTTTGACACTGGAATTTGATATTTGGATTATCCCTGGATGAAAACTGACTGATTTTACCTGTGAATGACTTTTGGATTGCTTATTTTGGACTTTGCTTAAACCTTTCTGGAAGTAAAAACCTACATTTACTGTACAGTGTATCTGTGTACTGTGTGTGTATTATTCAAACACTTCTCTCAAATACGTCTCCCTGTATGCGCTCATTCTCCTAACGGGGAATTACCTCAACACTATCCTCAGTCCTAATTGCTTTCAGAGATCAATGGAAGCAGGACTGTGAGGTCTTAGGAGCTCCTCAGGACTCCTCCCCCATTCCAGTTCTCTTAGAGGAGACCCCAGAGAAAGGGGTTGGATAGGAATCCGGAAAGCCAAAAGACAAAGGGAAGCTCTCCATACAGGCCCCAAACCCAAGGTGAAATTTATCCCAATCTCTTTGAAGCTCATTTCCCCAGCATCGGTCGCTGTCTCTCTCTTTTCTATGGGAGATGTTGTGAGCCAGAGGCAGCATTCCCCGATGAAGTGCCATCTGGAGGCGTTGCATGTCAGTTCCCGTCATTTCAGCGAGCACGCCCAAAGGGAATGGGGCAAATCAGGAATTCGTACCGTCCAAGTTGAAAGCCAGGGCACCGTATCAGAGGACGAATATAATTTGAAAGCATGGAGCAAAGAGATCCATTGCCAAACCAAAGATAAATTCAGAGAGCCTGGAGATTTCCCAGCTCTCTTCATTTAAAAAAGAAAAAGAACCACCTGCCCCGCTTCACCGAGTTGCAACAGATATATATCAACCTTGAGCACTGAGTCTCTCTCTCTCCCCACACTCCCCTAGGGATTTGGCAGCCCGATCTCAAAGCCAATGCGGCAGTTACTTGTTAATTTGTCGCCATGTGGTCCCTAGAGCCTGCTGGAGAATGGTAATTATGAAAGAGCTCATGGTCCCCAACACGAGAGAGACTCTGCGGATTATTTCTGCCCTTGATTGGAGGGGGCTGCAGCCATTCATACTTGCCTTTCTGCTCCTACTTGGCCTTACAGTGCAGCTTCCCCTGAATTGCAACATGCAGCGGCCTGGGGAGCTCCGACTCTAATCTGGGAGAAGAAAATAACTCCTCCCTTCAGTTGCCCTTTCCCCCCCCCCAAGTCCCACTCCAAGGCAACCCATGACACGCACCTATCCCGGGCAACTGGGAGGGGCTGCTCTCGACTTCCCGCTGGCCGATGAAGTACCAGACGCAGGCGACCCAGTGAGCCAGAAGGGCAAAGACAGTCATGAGCAGGGTGAGCACCACGGCGCTGTACTGTGAGTACCGATCCAGGTTGGGCAGCAGCCGCAGTAACCGCAAGAGCCTCACCGTCTTCAGCAGGTGTGCCCCAAAGTACTGGTTGGGAAAGAAAAGACCAGATATGCCTACACAGTACCCTCTGCGGTTCAAGGGGGAATGTTGGGATGGCAGAAGGGAAGAAACACGGCAATGTCACCAGGCCCCCGAGCCAAAGGGTACTGGGGTTGCTTTTGAGGAATACAATTCTCTTGAATTCAATTTAATTTTAAACATCCCTGAAATACCACACCAGCAAAAGAAGAAGAAAAAATAGAAAAGCCTTCCTTCTTTTAACCTTCTAACCAAATTATTTATAGTCATTTGGGTAGTAACTTTAAAATGCATCCAACTGATACTTCGGCTTCTGAAGTTTCACACCAGCTTGTAATGAACCAAGTCTTTGGTCTTCCTAACATTTCTGAGTTGCAATTACCTGGGCAAAGAGCTCCAAAGGGCACATTAGATCCTAGAACTGATCCAAGCCACATTTAGTACAGAATAACAGACTTGGAAGGGACCTTGGAGGTCTTCTAGTCCAATCCCTTGCTTAGGCAGGAAACCCTACACCATTTCAGACAAATGGTTGTCCAATCTCTTCTTAAAAAATTCCAGTGTTGGAGCATTTACAACCTCTGGAGGCAAGTTGTTCCACTGAATAATTGTTCTAGCTGTCAGAAAATTTCTCCTTAGTTCTAAGTCGCTTCTCTCCTTGATTAGTTTCCACCCATTGCTTCTTGTCCTGCCCTCAGGTGCTTTGGAGAATAGATTGACTCCCTCGTCTTTGTGGCAGCCCCTGAGATATTGACACACTGCTATCATGTCTCCCCTAGTCCTTCTTTTCATCAGACTAGACATACCCAGTTCCAGCAACTGTTCTTTACATGTTTAGTCTCCAGTCCCCTAATCATCTTTGTTGCTCTTCTCTGCACTCTTTCAAGGGCCTCGACATCTTTTTTACATCATAGCGACCAAAATGGGATGCAGTATTCCAAGTGTGGCTTACCAATTCATTATAAAGTGGTATCAGCACTTCATGTGATCTTGATTCTATCTGATAGCCCTGCACAATCACCAGCCAGCTGGAAATAACCAGACTTAGTTGCAGTCAGGAACAAAGAGTCATCAGCATTAATGCAGAACTGGACAGGCCGCAAGCCTTCCCAAGGCCTTCTCTGCAGCGGTCTGTCCACACTCACACTCTCATCAGTGGCCTGACCTTCTGCTAGAGCAGACATTTTTCCAGCAGGCTCAATTCAGTGGAAGGTTCCGTAGCCAGAGACCGTTCTCCCTACTAGCAGGGAAAACTTTCTTAAATTATGTGAGATTCTAGATCAGGAGCCATAACTTTGAGGCCGAAACACTCATCAGCAGTATTTTACCCAGAAATGAAACACTGAGAGAAAGATCAAGTTCAGGAAGTAATAGCGGAAAAAGCCAAAATTCAGCTCTGACTCTCTACAAAGATGTATTTATGGCTGCCTGAACCGGCCTTGAATAGTCAACACGTCTTCTGTGTGCCCCATCGTGGAGGTTCTGAGCCCAACTCACCACGTTGACCTTGAAGGCATAGAGAAGGTCGAAGGGTAATGCTGCTAAGAGATCCAGCACGAACCAGCGGGTCAAGTAGTGTAGGAATATAGCATGAGGATCAAAGACCACCTGCCCTGATTTGCTGACAAACGTAGTGCGAAAATTTAACACGATGTCTGCAAAACAATGCAAACAACAACAATAAAAGAATGGCAGTGTGCAACCCTTATGCAAGCCTTCCTTCCTTTAGTGTCTTCCAGATATCCCAAGGTTATAAATCTGACAATTCCTGGTCATGCCACCTGGGAATTGTGGAAGTTATAGAATGACACAATTCAGAGGCCTCTGGTAGAAAAGGCCAGGCTATTTCATACTCTCACCAACTGATGCTTTCAAGCTGTGAGCCCACCCTCATCTGTTTTTCTTACTATGCAAATGGACACTTGAGTGAAAGCCACAGAGTGACACTGATGTATATCTAAACTCACCCCAAACAGCTCCTTTGCCAGTGAAAGGAAATCACCTCCCGGGAAGGCCCTAACTTGTTAGAGGTGAATTAGAAGGCCAGGGTCGGGGGGAGGGGGAGGCAAAAAGGGCTCCCTTGAAGCCAGTTATGGTCAAGAAATCATCTGAGCTGGTCAAGCAGGATGCATGCCCCAATTTTGATTGGGGACCACTGTTGCCAGTTCCTTAACAACCTCCAATTTTAGAAGCAAAGAACTTTTCAGGCAGATGCCATCAGAGTTGTGGTGGCACAGTGGTTAGAATGCAGTACTGCAGGCTATTTCTGCTGACTGCCAGCAGTTCAGCACTTTGATTCTCACCAGGCTCAAGGTTGACTCAGCCTTCCCTCCTTCCGAGGTGGTAAAATGAGGAGCCAGATTGTTGGGGGAAAAATGTAAACCACTTAGAGAGGGTTGTAAAGCACTGTGAAGCAGTATATGAGTCTATGTGTTATTGCTATTGCTGTCACAACTCTTCACAGGCTTTCCTCAAAACCAGAGCCTAGCACTCTTTGCCAAATTCCCAGATGGAGAAATGAGGGGTCATTCTAACAGCCCCTGTACTCCAAAAACTATTAGGCCCGGAATAAGAGCTTCAGAATAGATCTGCATGGTTGCCCATCAAGTTCAGTATTAAAGGTAGTCCTCAACTTACAACCAGAATTGGGACCAGAATTTCTGCTTAAGGTGGTGGTTAAGTGAGTCATGCCTGATTTTACATTGCTTGCCATGGCTCTTAAGTGAATCACGTCAGTTGTTAAATGAATCATGTGTAAACGTGAAGCAAATCTGACGTTGCTTGTCAGAAGCCAGTTTGGAATGTCACCCAGGGAAGGAATGCTTGCAAATGGCGATCCGTGACCCTGGATTTCCCACAATCATTGTAAATACAAGCCAGTTGCTAGGAGCCCGCATTTTCATTCTATGACCATGGGGATACTGGGATGATGGTAAGCACAAAGACCAATCAGACGTCACTTTTTCAGGGTCATTGAGGCTTCAAGCAGTCACTAAACAAACGATTGTAAGTTGAGGACAACCAGTAGCTGCTCCCTGACTCTCCTCTGTCTTGGAACGTCAGGAATTGTTTGTATCTTAATCCTGAAGGCTGCCAACATGCCCCCACCCCTCTCAGGTGCTGATACCTCTCCCCCATACCTAAGATAAAAAGGATTTCCACAGAGAGATCACAGACACTGGGGGGTGCACGAGAAGCCTCTGGAAGCCCTTCATCCTTGGTGCCATTGAAGCAGACACTGTAGGGCACTGTGACAGCCACGTACAGCGTGGCCAGGAGAATCAGTCCGTCCCAGCCAGCCTTGAAGGTGCCGTAATGCAGCAGGATGAATGGCGACTTGCGAGCGGCAGCCACTTTGTATTCAGGCAAGGCAGGCTTCTCACCAAACACACCCTGGAGACAAACCAACAAGAAAGATTAAATGCTTGGAACGGCGAGGCTCGGAAATCACTGCCGACAACGGCAGCGGTCACCGTGTAAAGCAGGGGTCCCAGGATTGAGCAAAGCCTCCCAAAGCCAACCTGTATGCACTAGTAAGCAGGGAGACCCCCAAGGAATACATCAAGTAAGGAAGTTAAGAGGGAGTGGGGGATTTTGCATCCAATTGGTCCACCACTGGATCTGCCTGCCTTTTTTTTTGGTTTAGGTACTATAGTGTGATGGAATGTGCACCACCAGCAGCAGAGGGGGAAGTATTCTGCCAACTCAGTTCAAGAGACGGCACAGTCTTGCGCTGAATGGGGAAGAGGTTCAGGTAGCCTACAACACACCCCTAGAACAGGAATGTCAAACTCAAGGCCTGCAGGTCAGGTCTGGCCCGCAGGCAGCAGTGGGAATCTACCAGTTCAGACCAGTTCTATAGAACTGGTTATTATGAGTCTGCACAGTTCAGAGAACCGGCAAATTGTGCCCTTGGCTGGTCCGTCCCTTCTCCACCTGCCCCTCCCCTCCCAGTCAGTCCTTATTGCGCATGTGTGACATCGTGTGCATGCCCGACATCGATGACTTTGTTCTCCCCGCCCAGTTACTCCTTAAGTTTTTTTTCTCTCCCTCCCAACGATCAGCCGTTGATGATCAGCTGTGGTGGGATCCCCCTCCCTGTCTTACTGCTTCACCCAGGAGGCTTCCCTGAGGCCCAGGACGGAAAAGGGGTTGCATGGGGGGTGGGGGTGCTGTGCACCCCCCACGCGCTCCATTTTTTTGCCTTCCTGGGCCCCAGGGAAGCCTCCTGGGAGCAAAAACATCCCCCCAGGAGGCTTCTCTGAGGCCCAGGAAGCAAAAAAAATAAGACACGCCCACCCAGTCACATGACCATGCCCGCCTAGCCACGCCCACAGAACCGGTTGTTAAAAATTTCGAATCCCACCCCTGCCTACAGGGTGCTTAGATCTGGCCTGTGGGGCCACCCTGGAAACAAGGACCAGCCCGTGGCGCCTCTGCCAGTGAAAATGGGGTTCGGGAGGGCCAACTCAGAGGGTTGCAGGAGGCCGTCACAGCCAAAAACAGAGCCCGGGAGCCCCTCTTCACTGGCAGAGTGCTTGGGCCACCACAGGCTCCCCCGACATGAGTGACGTTGAGCTGGCCACGCCCAGCCTGGCCACACCCACCCTCTCTCTCACAACCCCCCCCCCCGAGGTCAAACACAAGCCTGATGTGGCCCTCAATGACACCTCTGCCTTAGAATCTCTCAGGATAGATCTAGTAGATTGGGACGTTATTGCTTTAGTTTGGCAAGATTTTTCCTTTAGCTGTGAGCAAATAGAAGATCGAACTCAACCGGATCTCACTGTCTCATCTCTAGGCTTGGATCTGACAGATAGGACGTTAAAGAAGGTCTATCTGAAATCCTGCCTGGCGTGACCCCTCTAGGGATCCAAAACTGGCAATCTCAGGTCTACAACTCAGTGTTGTGCCGTAGCTTTACTAACCAGTGAATTCTAAAGGATGCACACTGAGCATTTCTGGAGGGGGCCAGGACGGGCCAGGCAAATTTAAAATCTTAAATCTTTTCCAGGATTATTTTGCCCTGATCCAGTAAAGCTCAGATACAAACGCATCACTCTCTGAATACAGATCTTCTTCACAAAATTATGGGCTTAAGAAGGATAATTAATTAAATGTGACTACTACCCATATGTAACCTCTGGAGGGAAGGGTGTACTGCATTTGACTGCATGCTCCAGTAACCACACACTGCTACAACTTAAACCAAATACAACTACATTCAGTGGGGCTGCCTAAGATTGTTGGTATTTTCCGTGCTTTTCAATATTTTTGTTTCAGTATCTGTTTTGACTTTTGCAGTGAATGAACCAGTTCCATAACTAGTGTATGTTTAATAAAGAAATTCTGATTTAAAAAAATGAGCCAGCTGTTTCATTAAACCGGATGAAGAATTGCCCTGGGCAGTAGATTTTGAGTGTTGTTTATAAAATCTGTACCGTATTCTTGGAAGACAGAGCTGTGTATGCTGCTGCATGACTTATTTTTCATCCTTAAATTAGCCCTGCTCTGTCCTAAGACATAATAAAAAATACCAACATTGAAGGGAGAATCCATTGCCAACTAGTTGGCTTCTGCATATGGAATAGAAGGGGCAAAATCATTGTAGACTGGTCTTCATTAGCATAAATTAATATCCAAATAATCATGGAATTACAGGTAGCACTTGAGTTACAACCACAATTGAGCCCAAAATTTATGTTGCTAAGCGAAACATTTGTTAAGTGAATTTGCCCCATTTTATGACTTTTCTTACCAGACTTGTTAAAGTCAATCATTGCATTTGTTAAGTTAGTAACATGGTTGTTAAGTGAGTCAATGGCTTCCCCATTGGCTTTCCTTTTCAGAAGGTCACCAATGCTGATCACGGGATCCTGGAACTAGTGGTGGGGTTCAAAATTTTTTTCCTACTGGTTCGGAAAGCTCGCTTCGCGTGCGCATGCACAGGGCTCGAACACGGCCCTCTATATCAACACTGGTGAGCTGTGCAGGCATGCCTAATGCGCACGCATGCCAAATGCACCTTTCGTGTGCATGCAAAAGGGGCTCAGAAATTGCCCTCTTAATCAACAATGGTGAGCTGTGCTGTTCTTTAGCTCAGCTGAGGTGCGGCAATTCGCTCTGTCCATGAATCAGCTGAGCTAATAAACAACAGAATATAGGAGAGGGGAGAGGTGGGTGGGTGGGGCCAGCCAGAGGTGGTATTTGCTGGTTCTCCAAACCAGTCAAAATTTTCGATACAGGTATGCCAGAACCGGTCAGAACCAGCTGAATACCACCTATGCTTGGAACACTGCAACTGTCACACAAATAGGAACCATTTGCCAAGCATCTGAATTTTGATCATGTGTCCATGGCAATGCTGGAATGGTCATGTGTGTAAAGCTGTCATAAGTCACATTTTTCAGTGCCATTGTAACTTTGAATGGTCACTAAATGAATTGTTGTAAGTTTAGGACTACCTGTATATAATTTCAGGGCTTGTGGTTCCCTAAGAAAGCAGAGAAGCGTGCAAGAGCTCTCTACAGAGAGATGGAAGTCACCTATAGATAAGACCATTTTCTCTCTTGAAGACTTGGAGGGAACATATTAAAAATGCTCACATGGTTTGCTTGTAAGCCTTTGCACAAATTATCTTGGTCAGCAACAGAGGAGAGAGAGAGGGAGAGAGAGGGAGGGAGGGAGGGAGAGAGAGAGAGAGAGAGAGAGAGAGGATAAAAGTTGGAAACAAACAAGGGGAAATCAATACCCTAATCAAGGAACTATTGAGGAGAAAATCATGCCTCCATCAGCACTGGAAGAACAAGCTATATATATAAACAGGGACCAAACTCTCACACTCACTAGCACTGATGATATTACCTATTTTGGTAAAGAAAAGTTTGCAAGCAACCAAGCAAGCTCAGAGAGCATCAAGGATTCAAAAAATTGAGATCCTTGCTTTTTTAAATATATAGCTTGGTTGGCTCTATTAAACGTTAATAAACAGCAAGAGCAAATTGTTGGGGAAGTAAGTAACGTGCATTGTCAGCAATTGTTGATTTTCTAGCAGTTGTTTGGCCAACACTTGAACCCTTGGAGAGCCAGGGCCATTTTGTATCGACAGAACTGTTGGGGATTCTTGAGGAATTAGGCAATCAGGAACTGCTTCACACTAACCATCTCAAAACTGAATCTGGTTCAGGGAAGATCTTGGATTTAGTTCTGCTTACAGATTCCCGGATAGTTATCATGGTCTCTCTTAGTTACTTTACTACTGATTACTACTGATTTTGAGTCATTTGTGCCTGTTCCCGAAAAGGACCTGGGCACAATCACTCAGACAAACAGGTTACAAGTACCGTGTTTCCCCAAAAATAAGACCTAGTCTTATTTTCTTTTGGGCCCCCAAATAAGCAGCAGGTCTTATTTTCAGGATAAGTCTTACCTGCTTACCTTAGCACCACTGCAGCCAGGCCTTCCACGCCCCAATACTTGTCACGCCACTGCCTGACTTCTGTGGCCGCTCGCAGCCAGGCGCCACGTGGCTCAGCATGCTGGTGCCGCCGCTCATGGCAGGAGGCTGCGTGGCCTGTTGCACCATTGTGCGCATGAATGGTAGCACTGGCGCAATGTGCCACAGGGCATACTGCTGCAAGCATCAGCATCAGCACAATGAGCCATGTAGTGTCTGTCCACATGTGGTGGCACTGGTGTGCTGAGCTTTGTGGCATTCTGCCACAAGCGGTGGCACCGTCGCGACAAGGTATGATAATCATGATAAACTGAGACAGGGTCATCTCCATGTGAAATGAACCAATGTTGAGGTCCTCCTTCAAACATCACCTTCTTTAGATGATAGAGCAACATCAACTCTAATGTCCTTCCAGGTCCACCATTTTCTTTTTCTCAGGTGGTTCACATTGCCCCATTATTCATTTAATAGTGCTCATCCATGAAGGCATTTTCATTTTAAGATGCTTCGGAAACATATCTCCAATTATTTTTTTCCTCAAGATTAAATAGCTTTTTGTTTCTGCTTTTCGGTATGTATGATCTTATCCCTTAATCTTTGAGATTTAATCAAATATTGCATTTTTTTAAAAAAAAAAATTGAATTGTGAACAAAAGGTTTGGTGTGCTGGGTGAAATAGTGTTACATTCCTTGTCCCCTGGGATGAACATTCAGCGCCTCTTTCCCCTCACTCAACAAACTGAGATCCTGCGTGGTCTCTGTACTTCTGTCCACTGAACTTCTGAAAGGCTGTTCTTCCCTTGGCCTTGGCCCTACCACGTACCTTGTGGAGTTTGCGTTTTCCTTTGCCTTGCTTCTGGAGATGTCCTGAGAGGTGATAAAGTACCGCCCGGCTTCGCCGACGATTGGCATTGAAGCCTTTAGCTCCAGCTCGGCTGTAACGGCGCCGTCCACCTAGCAAAAGACAAATGCTGGATGGCATTTGGTACGTTAGAGCAAGAAGGGTTTGTATCTGCTCTTGTAGCAGTCACCAATGTATTTTTAATGAGAAAATATCTCAAATTTTGAGTTTTAGAGCAATGTTTTCACCCTTGCTTGGAGACGACTTCTACTGTTACAGAACCTTACATATTCAATGCTTATATTTTAGGGGAAAAGCTTTAACTGCCTGTTTTTGGGGGGCATTTTGGGCCAGTTTTTGGACCATTTTCAGGGTGTTTTCGGGCCAAAATGTCCTGAAAACGCCCCCCAAAAAGAGCCCAATACTGGCCTGGAAACCAGCCTGAAAATGCCCAGAAAACCTCTTGAAAACAACCCCAAAACAGCCTGAAAACAGTGCCAAAAATGGCCTGAAAATGTTTTGGCCATTTCTGGTGCTCTGGCACCCGCAAAGACCAGATGGTTGGCATGCATGTATGTGCCAGAAACCAGAAGAGCAGCTGGCAACAGCATGCATGCCATAGGTTCACCATCATGGCCCTAATACCATTCCAGACAAGTGGCTGTCCAGTTTCTTCTTCAAAATCTCCAATGATGAAGCACCCACAATTCCAGAGGCCAACTGTTCCACTGAGGAATTGTTCTCACCATCAGAAATTTTTTCTTTCATTCTAGGTTTGCTCTTTAAGCTTCCACCTGTCTTGCCCTCAGATGCTTTGGAGAATATGTGACTCCACCTCTCTGTGGCAGCCCCTCCAATATTGGAAGACCGCTATTGTGTCACCCCTAGACCTTCTCTTTCAATTATAGAGTTTTTCTGAGGACAGAGAGCCCTCTGGCAGACAAACAGCTGGGAAAGGTCCCGTCCCAAAGCCAAGAAGGACCCGGCCAGCCAATACAAAATAGGCTCCTCCAATCTCTTGGCCAGAAAGATGAAAATCCATTATCCAGAGATACAGTCAGTCCTCTATTTACAAGCAATGGTTTAGCGACCTTTGAAGTTACAATGGCGCTGAAAAAAGGGACTTGCACCTGGACCTCAGACTTACGACCCTTGTAGGTCGTACGATCAAAATGTGGGCATTTGGCAACCACCATTATTTATGTCATGTGATTGCCATTTGGCAACCTTCCCAGCCGGCTTCCAACAAGCAAAGTCAATGGAAGAAGTTGGATTCGCTTAAGACAATGTGATTCACTTAACAACTGTAGCAAAAAAAAGGTCATAAAACTGGGTTGTGGTTTGTGGTTATAAGACAAGGATTACCTGTACACAACTTAAGAGCCAGAGTTGCGTAGGGTCTACACTTTAGCCCTCATAGTCCCTCCAAAAGTTGCTATTGAACCGTGACACTTCATGAGACAACCTTGTGTGTGTGCATCAGGAATGACTAAACCGAGAGGGGATTAAAGACTAATTAAATGTAAAGGAAATGATTTGATATGTACATTCTCTTACATCAAATGTAATTGTCTTAGTATCATGTTATGAAACTTAGTTGCTGGAACTGGGTATGTCCAGTCTGATGAAAAGAAGGACCAGGGGAGACATGAGAGCAGTGTTCCAATATCTCCGGGGCTGCCACAAAGAAGAGGGAGAGAATAAAGAATATGTCCTACATTTGTATATTAAACAGTCCCATTCAAGTCAAAAATTGATTTCCCTCACAACTGAAAAACCAGTAGGCCAAGGATGGGGAAACTTTTATGGCTCAACTCAGGAATTCTAGGAGTTGAAGTCCATAAGTGATAGAAGAGCCAAGTTTCCCTAGCCCTGGTATAGGGTCTCCTACCTAAGCAGGGGGTTGGACTACAGCAGGGGTCGCCAACCTTTTGGACCTCAGGGACCACCAAACTCATAATTTTAGATCCCAGGGTCCACTAACCGGTTCTGTGGGTGTGGCCTAATTTGTGGGTGTGGCTTGGTGGTCATGTGACTGGCTGGGCATGGCTTGTATGTAAATATTATAAATATTTACATAAATATTGAATTTTTTTATAAAAAAGAGCAACTTTTACCCAAAATCAGGCTAAGCAGGCAGATTGAGTTGCTCACAGAATCACAGATTCATTCAGAGATCTATCTATCTGCCATTGGCTAGCTCAGTCTGTCACATAAAATTTGCTTGCAAGCAAACTCACAAAATTAACTCACAACACACCATGTATGTAAATATTGAATTTTTTATTTAAAAAAGCAACTTTTATCCAAAATCAGGCAAAGCAGGCAGATTGAGTTGCTCACAGAATCATTCAGTGATCTATCTATCTGCCATTGGCTAGCTCTGTCTCTCAAATTTGCTTGCTGTGAGTCTGCACTGAAGTTTCTTGCAAGCAAACCTTCAGTTGTAAGGGAGGTTCGGCTGTGCTTAGCTAGAAAGCAAGAAATCCAACCATTTCCTGCTTCCTAGCTAATCTAAATCTCCCGGCACAGCAGAACAGATGATGGTCGGAAAAAGGAAAAATAGCAACTTAGCAGACAAGTTTGCTGGGTAAGGATTGAGTGGGCAGGGAGGGTTCCCGCGGGCCATGTGGGCTGAGCAGCCTTGTGTTTCTGCACAGCCTGGATTAATTGCTTTGGGGGGGTGCTCTGGGGGTGAGATTTCTCTGCGGCCCACCAAACTTTTCTCACAGCCCACCAGTGGGCCGTGGCCCACTGGTTGGCGACCGCTGGACTAGAAGACCACCAAGGGCCCTTCCAACTCTACTTTTGTGCAGTCATGCAACAACCCAAAATATGCAGCCATAAAGTTTGCATGTGCTTCAGAAAGAGCTTTGCAGGCAGGTTGCTGGGGGTTTTCCATGGTTTTTTCCCCCCTGCCTGCTTATTTCTGACCATGACGGTTTTTGGTGGGGTTTTTTTTTTTTTTTGGTGCCATCTGAGCAACGCATCCTCTGAACTTGTTTTCACCCTGTTCTAACTGACAATGAGTTAAGTGAATATAAGAGTTTTCCATAAATGAGACAATATATGGTCTGGAATAGGAAGCAACAGATAGGATAGTTGGGGGCCAACTCAACATCAGGGGGCAAGATCTTCCAGAGAGCAAGAGCAACAGCAGAGAGCGTCCCCCTCCACCTCGACCCCGCCAATCAGAATAACTAGGCTGATGGGACCTGCAGCAGGCTTCCTCTGCCAGAATGAGTGGGACGAGCCAATCCCAGTGGGGTGAGATGATCCCTCAAGTAACCTGGACCCATGCCACAAAGGGCTTTAAAGGTGATCACCAACATCTTGAATTGCACCTGGAAGCACACTGGTAACCAATGCAGCTCACGGAGCAGTGGTGTCACGGGGGCCATTCTTGGGGCCCCCAAAACTACCCATGCTGCTGTACTCTGCACCAGCTGTAGTTTCGGAAGGCTCTTCAAGAGTGGCCTCTGAATTGCGATCGTTTGACCGTGGGACGATGCGATGGTCATAACTTCAAGGATGGATCCTAAATTACTTTTTCCAAGGCCTTGGGGAACTTCAAGCCAGGTGCTGGGTGAGTGTGGCCATGGTGGCTGTGGCCTATCGGAACTTCCAGGAGGTCCATTTTTCACCTTCTCCAGGGTTCAGAGGCTTCCCTCGGGTCACTGGGAGGGTGAAAACAGCGTCCCCTAGGTTCCGGAGGCCCTCTAGAAGCCAGAAATAGGCCTGTTTCCAGACTTCAGGAACTTCCAGGAGGGCTGTTTTTCACCTTCCCCAGGGTCCAGAGGCTTCCCTTGGGCCACCGGGAGGGTGAAAATGGCCTCCCTGGGGCTCCCTAGGGCCTCCGGAAGCCAGAAACAGCCCTGTTTCCGGACTTCCGGAACTTCCGGTTCAGCTTGATTTTCGCCCTCCCAGACCCTGCACTTACTTGCATCCAAAACAGGCCACGTGGAAACTCCTGGGAGGGGCGGGGTGGGGTGGGTGGGGCAGCCGGTCGGTTTAATTTCTGGTTCGGCAAACCAGATGTAAATTTAACATCCGATTCACCCAAACTGGTCCTAACCGGTAGAATCCCACTCCTGGTTGTAAGCCGAGGGCTGCTTCTAAGGGCCACTCTAGTCCTGCGGTTGTAAGGACAATCTGATGATGAATATTATGCTTCGTTTGGTCCTGAGATGAAAGCAGGCAGCTAATGACTGGTGAAATCACAGCAGGATTTCTGATTTTTCAGGGAACAGGATTCTGATCTGTTTATAATTCTTTAGTCTTAAAGTGATTGCCCAAAACATACAGAACATGCACATGTGGTCAGGCTGAGATGCTCCTTATTTATCCCATAAATCTTACTGCTAAAATTGTATTAGTGCTATGTTTGCTTGGAACATCCATACTGTGGGATTTTTAAGCAAAGTGGTAGCTCCTTCAATCATTAAGAAATGCAAAATGCATTTCACACTAAAAGGCAAAAGAGGATAGGATAGATTCGTAGTTGTGATATACAGATATATGTAAGGATTAAGTGTGTATATGGCATAAAATAAGGATAAAAAGGAGGTCTCACAAACGGTTGAAGATGAAAATGTTTTTAATTGTTTTCTATCTTTTTCTTTCTATTTTCTTCTTCTTTTCTTCTTTTCTTTTTCTCTCTTACATTTATGTATGTGTTGTTGGTCTGTTTTAATTGTAAATCAATAAAATTTATTAAAAAGAAGAAGAAAAGAAATGCAGAATGCCTGATATCCTTGCAGATATTATACATTTTCCAGAAATGGAGGCCGTATCCATGATGAACTTCTCCTGCCCTTTTAAATCGACCACCCTGCTACACCAAAATGATCATGGGCCAGAGATACTAACATTACCAAAAGGGAGCTGCTACGTGAGCATTAATGGTTAGCATTTAGAAAAATAAAAGAAATCAGTGGGGGGAAAAGGGAGAACAGAAAGTGCAACATTTTCACATCGTGTTCATACTTTATAAAGAAATGAAGACATGTGAAAAGAGACTGAATGAGCTGTATGTACAGCTAATTAATGAAAGTTCAAGTTCCACTAGTAATTTCATACGGTGTGTGGTGAATAATATATATAGTGATATGCCAAAGAACAGCTTTCTGGCAGATCTCCTGTGTATGTAACGATGCATGACATGTCAGCAGATTCATCAGCCTTGAGATGAGGAAGCTTCGTCTATTAGGGCTCTGTATTCCAGTTGGAAAAAGTGTAGGATCCCTGCCAGCAGACTGAGTCTTCAGCTGTGCTACAATGAGTTCCTACAAGTCTTTCCTTGGCATTTGAAGCAGTTTCATTTACGTGCTCTCTTAACTCCCTTTCATTTATGCACCACTGAACATTTGTTCGGCAGAGTGCTTGACTCTCGTTTTGAGAGCCATGCATGAACTAAAAAAAAAACACAGGGTGGTAGGCAGAAGGAGAGAGAGAGAACATTGCTGCTATCATCATCATCATCATCCAACATTGGAAGGAAGGAAGGAAGACCTTCCTTATTGATCTCACAATCTCTTGAGGATTCTTAAGCCTCTGTGATCCAGTAGTCCATCTCCCAGGTAGGTGGCAATACAATTCCCATCATGCCATCATGAAAAGAGAGCATGTGGGAATTGTGTTCCCAAGATATCAGGAGGACATGAATTGGTGCCCTCATAGGTAAGGTTGTACCACAGTTTACAAGTTTTTCCTTTATTTTTACACACACACACACACACACACACACACACACACACACACACACCACCTCCATCGCTAGCTTTATCTCACCTCCTTCCTTCCAGTTTTCTGCAGATGCTCTGGTTTTGGTGTCTGTGATGTCTTTGTGGGAGACTAGAAAAAGGGCCACTTCCCCCTTTTCATTCTTGATAGGCACCACATCCAAGAGACACCAGAAAGGGACACCTAAAAGATAAGGAGCTGTGTGAGTTGATGTTCCTGGGATACAGATTAACAGAGTTGGAAGGGGCCTTGTAGATCATTCTAGTCCAACCCCTAGTCTGAATGATCTTCTCCACTGCCAACCCCAGCATCATTTTTTTCTGCTGTTGCAAACTCTTTCTGGAGACCTAGGAAATGGCAGGCAAGAAAAGAAGGTCTCTTCAAAGAAAGCTCAGATGTTGCTTTACTGAGCAAAGCGATTGCTGCTCCCAGGTTCTGAAAATCCCAAATAGGGGGTGCCATTTTCCCTCCTGCTTTCCTATACTTCCTGTACAAGCAAGGACCACACTATTCAGCCTGGCTTTTGACCATCAAGGTCACACGGATTGTACTGTGCTAAATCAAAGCCTTGTTAGCTGATTGGTGGTGAGCTTTAATCATCGTCATAAATGTGGCTTTGTGAGCACTTTTGAGCACACTGAGGGCTGAACAGGTAATACCTCTGCTGCATGAGCTACATTGAGTTGCTTCCGGGTCCAGTTCAAGGTGTTGGTTATCACCTTTAAAACCCTTCATGGCATGGGACCAGGCTAGCTGAAGAACCATCTTGTCCCAATTACATTGACCACATAAGCAGAGAAGGTAAGTTACAGACCTATCAGTTAAAAAATTCTGACTGACAGGATCTAGGAAGAAATTCTCCATTGTGACCTCTGCCCTATGGAACATCTTGCCCCATAAAGTGAGGCTGTCTACCCACCTCCCAACACTCTTCTGGCCTTTTGGAACTGGTATCAAAGTCTAATAATGGTATGCAGTCGTGGGGGTGAGCTTGAGGATGCTTCTTCTGTGCCTTTTTATATGGCTTTATAGTTTTTATCTGTAAACCTCTCAGGTAGCAGAATAGGCAGTATATAACTTTAATAAATAAAATAAAATTTGCATTTTTATCTTTTGTTCTATTGTTAGTTGTATTAAGACCTGATGAGAAGAAGCACCGAAACTGGCTGAAACTCCTAGAAATAATTCTGGTTTCATTTCCATTGCGTTTTATAGGTGCTGAACTAGAAAAGAAAAATGGGAAATTAGAACTGTATATGGAAATGGTGGCAAGATTATTGTATGCACAAAGAAGAAGAATGAAATATCCAGGGAGAAGATTGTAAAATGGATGGAGCTCAGAGAAATGGCAAAGCTATCCAATTTTGGTCAGGGAAAAACAATGCAGACTTTAAAAAAAAGTATGGAAGCCTTAAAAGGGCTTTTTGTTAAAATAAGGAAAGACTGAATTGATGATTTATGGACCTGGGGATTGAAAGGGTTAAAGAGAAAGAGAAAGAATAAGATGGCAATTACTTGATAGAGAATTTCAGCAACAGAGTGGTCAATGCCTGGAATGCCCTACCTGACTCTGTTGTTACATCTTCTAACTCCCACTCCTTTAACCTCAAACTATCCACTATTGACCTCACCCCATTCCTAAGAGTTCTGTAAGGGGTGTGCATAAGTGCACCATTGTGCCTCCTGTCCCAGTCCTATTGTCCCCATTTATTTGTACCTATTTCCTGTATTCTTACTCATGTTTATACTTATATCTATTATCTTGTAAGCGATTGACAATTCAAATAAATAAATAAATAAAATAAAAGGGTAGAAGTCATAATGAAGCTCCCTTTTTCTAAGTTTCTATTTTTCTCTTCCTTTTTTCTTCTTTCTTTGCACCTTTTTCACTGATTTCTCTTTCCCTACTTTATCCACTTTCCTAAATGTTATTGGCTTTAATCTCTTCATTTAATAAATTATTAAGTTTATAAATTTCATAAAGTGTGTGTTTGTGTGTAGGTGGGTATATAAATGGACCCACTGCGGTATGCATGTGTATTAGTATGGTGACATCCACGCTCCACTCGCTGCCCCAGTGCTGGTATCCGCTTCTCACGGTTATTGAATAAACCTCTCCTCTATCTGTTGGCCTCCTTTACTCATTGGGTAGAGGATTGCACTCACCATCTGCTCTTAAAACATCTTTTGTGTTCACACAGAAGTGGGAGGGGTGGTGTGAACAAATCTCAGCATGTGTGTAGGTGTGTGATATGGGCATTCCTAAGCATGCTAAATAAAATAGCAGTCTTTTTTCCCCCCCAACTGCTTCCTCCTTGGCAATGGAGAGAGTCACATATCAAATATACATATAGGGGAGACAGACAATTCAATCCAGGGCACTGGTTTTGGGGTGCAGAGGCTGCCTTTTGAGCCCCTCCCCACTTTCAGTTGAAACAAAAACCCAGGGAGCGGGGTGGGGGACGGGACTCTGGAAAGCTGTTCCTGTTCATGCTGGACGTGAAGAAGAGAAATTGCTCTAAAGCCACTTTCAATGTTCTTCACACTTGAAATGCTTCCAGAAGGATCCCTGCTGCAAGAGGTCCAGATACAAAAGACAACAAGAGCGCTGCAGTTTTCACAATTGTGTAGAACAGGGAAGCAGAGCAACGCAACTTGCTTAGCCAGCCCGAGCCACTAACATTCGCTTGCTGCATAATATTAAAGATCTTCTTCTCCAGCTAATTTTCTCTTGAGCAATATTCATAGCACAAAAACACACAGAGAGAGAAGGGAGGGGGCGGGCAGGCAAGCAAACAGACAGACAGACAGACAGACAAACTCACTTTCTACATTATCTACTTCAACTTCCATTTTCCACTCCCTGGTACAAATTCTTCCCCCCACAAAGGTTCCTTTGCAATTCAGAGTTATGTTCTCAGAAACCGGACTCACCACTTTTCCTGTAGAGGATGAGCTCAGCTTTAAATTCCTTACGCTCGTCAAGGGCTTTGCGGATCTGGGTGCGCACCAGCTCACTGGTGTCTGGCCCATAGAGGAAGTTGCAGGCACAGCAACGTTGCATGACCTCAGCCCGGGAGAAGCCGGTCAGTTCACAGAAGCCATCAGAACAGTACACCACCGGAAATGCTCCCCGGACTTGGGCATTGCCCAGAACAAAATTACTGTCTGAAGAGAAAAAGAAAAGAAACGATGATCACTAGCCTGGCTATCCCAGCTATCTCAGAAAAAATCACTTTGTCCACCTTGTGCCCACTAAATGAGCTGGTCTATAGCTGGGTTTCCCAACCGTGGCAATTTTAAGACGTGGACTTCAATTCCCAGAGTTCCCAAGCAAGCATGGCTGCCTGGGGAATTCTGGGAGTTGAAGTCCATGTGTCTTAAACAGTGGTGGGATTCAAATTTTTTTACTACTGGTTCTGTGGGTGTGGCTTGGTGGGCGTGGCAGGAGAAAGATACTGTAAAATCTCCAGTCAGAAGTGGTATTTGCCGGTTCTCCAAACTACTCAAAATTTCTGCCACCAGTTCTCCAGAACTGGTCAGAACCTGCTGAATACCACCTCTGGTCTTAAAGTTGGAAAAATATGCTCTATAGCAGGGCTGTCAAACTCATGGGCCATGGGCCGGATGCGTCATGCATTGGCCACGCCCATGCCTGGTTTACGAAGGGGGTGAAAGTCACTATACATCACACGATGTGACAATGCAAGTTTGACACCTCTGCTCTATAGGTTTCATCTTTGAGACACCAACTTTCTGGACTCTTACCTAAATGTTGATATTGAATTGGAAAAGCACTGGTGTACTTTTTTCACTAAGACACATGACAGTTGATGGCTTGAATTAATTATGACTGCCCTGTAAAAATTTTGAACGGCCTAGCCTGAAGCAAGTATTGCAATGACCAGTCATGATTAGGATTGATATCTTAGCCAGTAATCCTGTATACACTTAGCAGTAAGACCCATTGAAATCAATAGGATTTACTTAACTTTTGGTGTAATATTACATTTCACTATATATCATATTTCTTAGTTTTCCAGGGTATTTGTAACCACACTACATGTTTATTAAGGACATAAATGCTGTTAGCATAATGTTTACATTTTAAAACAACTGCTACTATTAAGCACAAACATCCACCAGGATTGGGATGACAGAAGGCAAGAACCTTATTTAACTGCTTTCATTGTGATCCCAATTTTCTCCATTTCACCCAAACTGCAATTAGCTGAAAGAAATACTTCCTCTTATGGCTAGACATTGCCCCTAATATGGTAAAAAATAACAACAACAATGAAAATGAGAGATACCATTCTTAAGCCTTACGTACGTCGTTTTCTCATAGCAACTTTTTAGCGCCTTCTAGAGTCATCCAACCACTGCTTTGCCAAAATAGCAGTAATAAAAACAAGATTCTGTCAATGAAACATTCAGAAACTAAACTGAAACAAGCTTGGAGAGCAACCACTACCAAGATTTCTGTAACTCCAACAATGGCTGAATGCTGCTAAGAAGTTGGTTGAAGTCACTACCCAAGTTAGTTGGTTCATTACCACCAATATATATATATCAGACAGCTGATCAACTATTGAATAAACAAACGATTATATATATATATAATCCTTTGTTTATTCAATAGTTGATCAGCCTTCTGATGTCCTCCTGATATCTGTTGGATCATTAAAACCATGAAATGCAAGTGAGGAAGCCAACCATCTGTGTTGTAGGCAGAGGTGCTATTCAGCAGGTTCTGACCAGTTCTGGAGAACCGGTAGCAGAAATTTTGAGTGGTTTGGAGAACCGGCAAATACCACCTCTGACTGGATATTTTATAGTATCCTTCCCCTGCCATGCCCACCAAGCCACGCCCACAGAACCAGTGGTAAAAAAAATTGAATCCCACCACTGGTTGTAGGACTGCAGTTCCTTCCCATTTCAACTGCACCAGCTTAGGGTAGGTTGCTATCTTTACTGCTATGAATCAGCCTCAGTTTGTAAAGTGGGATTGAGACAACAGGTTATGATAGGAAGGAAGGATAGGAAGGACTGTGGGTCTTTGGTGCTCTCTGAGCTTGGTGGTTTTCTTGCAGATGTTTCATTACTACACCAGGTAACATCATCAGTGCATAGAACAGGACTGACTGGAATGTATCTCTGAGCGAGGTGTATGGAATAATAGCAGTAGCAGAGTGTAGATACTTCTGAGGGACAGACAAAGATAAGGAGACAGACCGTAATCCATGATAATCTATGACATATTAAATTTGTCAGTCTTTCAAATGCATGAAGCTCCAGTAAAAGCTTTGCTGGGGTTATTTATTTGTTTTGTTTGTTTATTTGCATCCTTCCTTTTATTATCTTTTACAAATACCTCAAGGCAGCAAACATATCCAACACACTTCCTCCTCCTATTTTCCCCATCGCAACAGTCCTGCAAGCTGAGTTGAGAAAAACTGACTGGCTCCAAATCATCCAGATGGCTTTCATGGTTAAGGTGGGACTGGAACTCACTGGCTCCCAGTTTCTAGCCTGGTGCCTTCACCACTAGACCATACTGGCTGAGGCAGGGGTTAGAAACACGACTCTCCAAGAAGACAGGCCATCAGCTGTAGACTGGGGGGCGGCGGGAATGGGAAGAGGGACAGAGAAACCATGGACTAGAGCTGGGATCTCAGGATGCCCTACATGCCTCATTCCCCAGATGCCTCACAGGGAGGGAGTGAAGCCACATTCTTAATTCCTTCCCCACTCGCTTCCCAGGAGTTGGCGCCATCTGGTGCGTCTCCAGTTTCTGACTATTTTTACCCTGTTTGTTCTGTGCAGAGTTTAGTCATCGCCTGCGGCAGCTGGACTCAAACCCCCAACTTCTCACCAGGCAGAAAAAGCCAAAGCCTATCCCCAGCCCTGCCTGATCCATTTGCATATATTTGAATAGGAAAAACAAAGCCCCGAAAGATAACACAGAGATGCTGGAGGGACATTTCCATATCCAGAGAAGAAAAAGGGAGACAAATCCAATTGGTCCGGAGAAGAAGGATGGAGAGAGAAGGAGATGGTGCAGAAAAGTGTAATTTAGTGACTAAAGCAGGATGAGGGAATGGAGGTTCTTAATTTTAGGATTCCTCAGAAATTCCAGGAAAGTTGGAAAGGTGCACACCTTTCCTGGTTGTACCTGAAACCTAACAACAAATACTTCCAATTGCCTAACTAACAACTCATTGAAATTGCAGTCAACATTAAAATAATTCAAAAAGCGATGACCCAAGAAAGACACAGAGGTTTGCACGTTATGAATGGAAGATAACAAAAGTTCGGGTATAAGCAAAACAAATTTGTTATATTTGTTAGATTGAAAGAGTACCGAAAACCATCTCTACAGTAGCAGACAAAGAGAGCTGTTCACAGATTATGGGTGGTGCCATAATCCGAATGTCTCTTTTGCATACTGTAAACACACCATGTTTTTTTTATACTGTGCAAAGACTAGGAGTCCAGTGCTTTATATAACTTTATATAGAGTTCCCTCCCTCCAACAAAAACTCTTTACTTCTGACAAAAATCCCCCCCACCCCAAATAAAAAGATCGCAAGGACAAAGGAAGATTGTACAATCTTTTTTCCTAACCAGGAAAAAAATACTGGGAAAAATGTTTGAGAAGACAGGGTCTGGAAGGAAAAAACATTGGCTACCTTCTTCTAGCTTATAGAAGATGGGTAGCATATAAATTCATTGTTTTAGCTCATAGTGAGATGGACAATATTTAATTTAAATTTAAACAAACAAATAAATAAAAATAAATAAATAGAAAATCTTGGAGCGCCAACAAGTTTCCCAGGGCCATTTAATATATCCACTAGTTAAACTAGATTGCTGAAGAACAGAAGAAGAACTTTCATAGCATGAATATTAAGTGTGGGAAAGAGAACCTGGATTGTATATGTGTACATCTGTGGCTAAAAGTGTAAAAGAATTATTTAAAGAGGACTACAACAAGAATCTGCCAAAACAGAAATCGCTTGAATCAGAACTTCCCATTTTGAGAACTTGTTATAGTCAATTGGTAAAATCAAAATCTTTGTGTTACAAAAGTAAGGAAAAGAATCTGCCAGACAAACTCAAGGTATTTTTTTAGCATTTTACTTGCTTCCTGTAAGATATTTTGAAAATAGACTCATTATTTGTAGGTTCTGACAATTGTTTCTAAAATAGTGGCTCTTGAGACAAACACGCTTGTAAAGTTGGAAAGGTACATTCAAGCTGCCAGCATTAAAGTAATAATCAGAATCTTGCATGTACAATAAAATAGTATATTTTCAAAACAGAGAACTCAAAGAGAGCTTTGTTTTAAGTGACATATTTTTAGCTAATTATCTAAATATTGAGAAGCACCGCCGGCTTCACGTTTAAAATTCAGTAGTAACAAATGCATCGAAGACCCAATAAATTCTGTTTCAAAAAGCTTCTCTGTGGCTCAAAAGCATATTTGTCAGATCCAAAGACTCCATCCACTCTTTCTGCAAAAGCAGCTCACTATTACTCTCTAAAAAATCCCTGGGTTCATGTCACTCCCTTTCTCTTTTGCCCAATCAGTGCAAAAGCATCAGGATGTTTGTCAAAAACTCAGCCTTTCCTTCTCTTTCACATCAAAAGGAGGATTGGTGTTCAAACCTGTAGGGAAGACAGTCTTTCAACCCACAAGAGAAATGGTGTGTGGGTACCAAGGCAATGTGACACCAGGGAAATGGCCCTATAACTAGTGGTGATGCAGTGCAACAGTGCAACTGATGGAGAAAACTGAACTGTTTTCAGAAACACACATATGAAGCTGGGACTGATAACACTTCTTGTAAAATAATAAATAAAATAAAGTAAAATATCAAAACAAAACAATAAATAAAAACAAAACAAAACAAAACAAAATATCCTAGGGCCACAGACCAAAATTCTACAGGCTTAAACTGGGTTGAAACAGTGAACCTGTGCTAGCTGGGAACTGTAGTGCTGTGTATGGAGTGCCTGTTAAAAATGCCCCTACAGGTTCACCAACAGAACTACAAACCCCAGATCCTTCAGGGAGGATCTGATGGGTCAACGGACAGAGGTACAGTAGATACATTAATATATCTTGAGCACAATCATCCATGAAATGGAGGTTTCCTCAGGGA